TTGAAAAAAAAATTTTTTTTTTAAAAATTAAAAAAAAAAATAAATATTAAAAAAATTTTTAATGACAAATAAAAAATATAAAGAATCTCTCCACTCATGCACACACTCTAAATAAACAAATAAAATCATATCTGCCCAAGAGCAGGGTGGAGTGTAGAGGTCAGAGCGTGGGCATCAGAGACACTAACCTGCAAGGGTTAGCCTGCAGCTGAAGAGATCCCCTGCCTGCTTCACACAGACCGTTTACATACATTTATGGCTTCAAAAGAATGCATGAGTGAAGGGGAGGAGAAGCCGTGTTTCCGGTGTGGCACCGCCTACCTTGGATGACTGTTCTGCCCCCAGTCCTCTCGGTCATTAGGTCAAAGGTGGTAAATCCTGTCTTTTTGGAAGAGCCTCTTCGGTACATCAGTGTTATCCTGCTTGTCCTCCTTGGGGCCCAGCAGGCTCTGCAGCATGACGAAAACGGGATAGAGAGTGACAGAGGGCTTTTGCCTTCCGATGGTTTCAGTAAGCACTCTGTGAAAAAGACCTATGGAGAGATTGTTGCACAAATAGGTGAAGGGGGAAGTAGCAGCACCTCAGTGCAGGAGGGACTCCAGAAAAGCCTCCTTAAAAATCCTTACTTTGTGGGACACCTGGCTGGCTCAGTCGGTGGCACATTTGACTCTTGATCTCAGGGTCATACATGCAAGCCCCACGTTGGGCATGGAGCCTACTTAAAAAAAAAAAAAAAAAATCCTCGTTTTGTGGCCAAACTTTAATCTGAATCCTAGGAAGCACAGAGTAGTCACTGCTTGTCACTTGACATCCAAGAACCTGTCTTCCTATCCTGCCTGTCGTGGTCACAGAGAGCAAAGCCCCTGCAGCCACGCTTCAGGCATGCCACAGAGGTACAAAATCGTCTGGCCACACTGGAGTCCAGATCAAGTTGCCACTGGCTCGACAGATCTCCCCTCCTTGGAGAAGGGGTCAAGGGCTGTTCTGCTTTGGCTGCGTCCTCTCAGCTCCTTGCTCTTTGGTGCCCGGTCCACCTGTGCCATGGTAAAAATGGCTTGGCTCAAAGGCCACAGACTTTCTCAGAGTGCCATTCAGAGGTGGATCCATTTTTATTTACTTCTGGACTGCTTGGTACTTTCTAGCCAAGGTGGATAAGAGTAAGGAAAGCTAAAGTGAACAAGGCTACCAGAGATCCTCCTCTCTTGAGCTGTCCCTCACTTTCCTCTAGCTCTTTGGGCGATTCAGGCTTCTTGATGCAAATTTTCATGGCTTCTCAATGCAAAGTTTCATGAATTAACGTTTGTTTTTGCACCTAGACATCATCACTTCCAAGAACACTGCCTCCTGACTATCGAAATGGATTCTAAATGTGATATGGCCTTTGAGAGGGGGGAGCCCTATGTCTGGTCCTTGCTGAGCGCTGCAGGTTCTCCCACACTTCCTAAACTCCACTTTCCCAATGCTTGACCCTGTCCTCCCGAGGTTAACCCACAGAGCAACACTCACCCTGGGCAAGATGTTCTGATGTGTCCCAGATGCAAAGACCCATTTCTTGTCAGGAGAGCAGTGCAGAAGGTCAACAGTGTATTTAAATGCGTGGACTTTAGAAACACCCCTGAGCTCAGGCACTGTCAGTGTGTAGATGTCACCTTCAGAATTGCCGACCTGAAACCAAAGCACCACCACCACATCAACAGAAGGAGATGGGAGATTATAAAGCACACAGAAGGCATCACTATCAGCTGCAAAATATTCTACTATTTTGGGTGCCAGGGTGGCTCAGTTGGTTAAGTGACCAACTCTTGGTTTCAGCTCAAGTCATGATCTTACGGTTTCATGAGCTCGAGCCCCGCATTGGACTCTGTGCTGACAGCACAGAGCCTGCTTGGGATTCTCTCTCTCCCTCTCTGCCTGCCCCTCTCCCATTCATACTCTGTCTCTTTCAAAATAAACTTAAAAAAAAATTTAAAAATATGTATTACTGTTTCTTTAATCATATAATGGAGATTAAAACCTCTTGATGTTGTGAGAATGATCCCAAGGAATAAAACTTTCTAAGTCCCAAAGCATTCTTCTCGAGGATAATTATTCATTGGTACATCAACCTTATTCTTTTTTCTCAATATCTCCCCAAACCCACAGCTCTCCCTCCATAGTCCCTGTCCAAGGTCATGTACTGTACAATCGACACTTGAAAGAAGAGACATGGATATAAAGTAATTCAGGATTTTTTTTTCTTTTGGAAGAATGACTAGGGAAATGTACTTGTGGGAGATCAAGGGCCAAGATGGTAGCAAGGTTTGTGTGACCAGCATTCGCTGGTGTGTTTTGACACTCAGGGTACATGGTAGGGATGACTCCAAGAAGACAGACTGTGATGTGACAGTAATGGGGCCACAACAGTGGCCAAGGCAGCAGGCATTTTGTTTTGTGGGTGCCCTCCAGATGCAGGGCTCACTTACCATCAGGAATGGGCCATCCTTTGTGAGACAGACTTCCAAGGAAAAGCAGGCCTGAGACACGGGGAAAGTGGCCAGGGCATCCTGATCCTGACAATTCCACACTTTGACGGTTCCCTCCAAATCCACAGTGAATGCGAGATGCATCTGAGGGAGGGTCGCCAGATGCGTGATACTAGGCTGCTGGACGGGGCTTGACCAGATCATAGTGCCCTAGAGGGAAAGGAACACTGTATGTGCCAGGAACTCCTCACACCCACGGTGCTTTCATTCCGCCAGCGTTTATTTGGAAGTCTCCTCCAAATTAGAGCCGTTTCTTGCTTCTCGGGAAAAACAAACAAGAAAATACCCCCTTGAGAGGGTAGTGAACACAGAAAAGGAACAATACAATATATTCAAACAACAGAAGAGCTCACTACATGATAGGCATAAAGAACGATCTGACTTCTGGGCCCAAATAAGTTCTGCCTTTTTTTTTTTTTTTTTT